ATCAGTGAGATTCAGCAATTTAAAGTAGTGGAATACTTTGTGTATTTGGGTGTTCAGATTTTCCCAGAACTACAGCAGGTGGTCAAAGCCAATTAAAACTGGACATGTCTACCTATATGTATGCTGGGAAGACTAAATGTCCTGGAGATGAATATACTTCCAAACCTATTATACCTCTTTCTAAGCATTCCCCCCCCACCCCTCCTGAATTATTCAATTGGCTGAAATAAAACATCTTAGGTTTTGAGTGGAATAACAGAAGGTCTAGGCTCCGCCTCTCATTGCTTTATTTACCATTTGATAGAGGGGGGGTTAAAGTGCCCCAACTTTAAAATTTACTATTGGGCCTCAATTTATTGTACCTGAGTCAATGAGTCGATGCAATCAGCTGGTTTTCCTTAGATAGAAAACTTTGAATCAATCTGACTGGATGATCTGGTTGATCTGGATCTATAAAGTGACCTGAGATGACATGATGTGAATTGGAGCTATAGAAATAAACTGAATAGAATTTAATTAAGGACTATCATGATCTATTTTGCGGATAAAGATAATCCTCACTGGGTTGAAATGGAGTACCACAATAAGTTTAGCTTTTCCATTGTTTATAAACTCTGACACATCAAAGAAGCTACAGAAACGCACCAACAATCCCATTCTGAAAAACACGATCAAAATTTGGCAGGATGTTAGAAAATACCTTAAGGAGACAAACAAAATATCCCAATTTATCCCAAAATGGGATAATCTGGTAGAGCAGATGGAACCTTTAGGCTATGGGCACTATGAGCTTTAAAAAGTATCGATGACCTTTACCCATTAAATTCTGATATATTTCTGTCATTTCGAGAACTATAAACCAAAGTCAAGTTGGATAAAAAGCATTATTTTAAATTTCTTCAGATAAGAAGCTTTATTAAAGCAAATCAACAATCTTAACAAGCCCCCTCTTACCTTACTTGAAAAGTTAATGAGTCAGAATAAATCAAGGAGGAGCATCATCTCAGACTTTTACAATCTGCTGATCTCTAACTCACTAGAAAATTCAATAATCCTCCTTCTCACATATAAAGCCTTAAATGGCCAAGCTCCATCTGATATCAGAGATCTGATTGTTCCTTATGTTCCTAACAGAGCACTTCGCTCTCAATCTGCAGGTTTACTAGTGGTTCCTAGAATTTCTAAAAGTAGAATGGGAGGCAGATCTTTTAGTTCTCAGGCTCCTCTCCTTTGGAACCAACTACCAGTTTTAGTCCGTGAGGCAGACACCCTGTCTACTTTTAAGGCTAGGCTTAAAACTTTCCTTTTTGATAAAGCTTCTAGTTAGAGTGGCTCAGGTTATCCTGATCTATCTCTATAGTTCTGCTGCTATAGGCTTAGACTGCTGGAGGACATAGGGACCCCTTTTTCACCATTCTGCTTCATTCTATCTCTATTCTCCCACTCTGCAGAATCTGTTAGTTCAATCTCTAACGTTCTGCTCTCTCTGCTTTTTCTCATAGTAGCTTCATCTGGTCTGTTCCTGTTTGGCTGTGACTCCATCCTGGAGAGAAATATCAGCTGTGCTGCTGCCATCAACACCTTTGTTTCTAGATGTTGGAGCTTGGCCTGTTTTCCAGTATAGTCCTGTTTCTCTGACTGTGACTAACTGGATGTGCTCTCTTCATCCTCTGACATGGGAGCTGGCTCGGAGCTCGTCTGCCTGGCTGTGTGTTTCCTGGACGGGGCCGCCTGTGGAGCTGGTTGACAGTTGCCTTTTGTATCTATGCTTCTTTTTCTATGTCTGCTTCTGTCTCCTTGAACCCCAGTGGGCCTCAGCAGATGGCCGCTCACACTGAGCCTGGTTCTGCTGGAGGTTTCTTCCTGTTCAAAGGGAGTTTTTCCTCTCCACTGTCGCTACAAGCATGCTTAGTGTGAGGGATTGCTGAAGAGTCAATGAGTCGATGCAATCAACTGGTTTTCCTTAGATAGAAAACTTTGAATCAATCTGACTGGATGATCTGGTGAACTGGAAAGTGACCTGAGATGACATGTGTTGTGAATTTGGCGCTATATAAATAAATTGAATTGAATTGATAATAAGCTTATAAACTGGAACCTATCAGCAAACATCAGTGAACAGGATTGGGAAAAAGTTTGCATTAAAGTTCACACAATGTCCATAAACAGCCGTCTTAGAATTCTACAATTTAAATGGCTAATACATATCTATGTTACACCTGTGTATTTAAAATAAATACAACAATAACATCCCGGATATTTGTGTAAAATGTAATTCTAAAGGATGCAATGCAATGCTTTAGCTTGGAAGAATATCAGGAGATCTAGCGCCACTCAGTGGTTAAAACAGATTACGTCTAATTTACAGCTAGAAAGAAGAACATATATTAGGAAATCCATATGGTAGCTTTTCCAGAGGATTTGGGGGCCTTTATTTATTTTATTAAGGACTTAAACTTGACTAAAGGCCTGTTTGAGTTATGATTTATTGGAACCTGTGGTGTGCCATGAGGTATAGATATGTAATGTGTAATTTGCTTGCATATCCCCCTTTTTTGAGAATCTGTGTGTTTTTCTCCCCTTTATTTCATGTTTTTCTTTTTCTTTCTCTCTGAGTTGAGTAAAATAATTACTGTCATAACTACAAAGAGAACTTGTTCAGATAATTACATGTTTGTATTTTCAAAATGAAAAATCTCAATAAAAAATATATTGGTAAAAATAAAAATAAAAATATACAATTGCAGATTCCCTTTTACAGTGATTCTATAACAATTTATCAATTAACAACACAAACATAAGAGACTACATTATTTTTAATCTAGTTCAGCACTCTGTATGGTTTTAGTCTAACATATAATGGTACTCGCTTTTGTTTGAATTTGTAGATTTAGTATTTTGCTAGCTTAACCACATTCATTAACTCACCAGAGTTTCAAGGACAACAGGTGCATTCCACTGGATTGGGTTTGAGGGAAACAATTCTAAAGTTCTGAAAAAGGCAAAATGAACTTAAAACTCATAAAAAGTAGTTTTTTTTAATCACTTTTCTCAGCTCAGTCGATACCTGTCTTACATCTCTGGTCATCCATTTGCATGTCAGCTTAGACGCACATTATGTGAGCATATGATGCATTCAGGGGAACTGGGAAAAGGGTGGTACGTTCAAGGGGAATTCCGAAAAAACTTTCAAAACATTAGTAACCATTTATTTATATGGGTTACATGTGGTTCAGAGAGAGCTGAGCCAAAAAGCAAAGCTCTCGATTTACCGGTTGATCTACGTTCCTACCCTCATCTATGGTCATGAGCTTTGGGTCATGACCGAAAGAACGAGAACCCGGTTACAAGCGGCTGAAATGAGTTTCCTCCGTAGTGTGGCTGGGCTCTCCCTTAGAGGTAGGGGGAGGAGCTCAGTCATCTGAGGAGGACTCAGAGTAGAGCCGCTGCTCCTCCACATCGAGAGGAGCCAGTTGAGGTGGCTCGGGCATCTGGTTAGGATGCCTCCTGGACGCCTCCCTGGTGAGGTGTTCCAGTTACGTCCCACCAGCAGGGAGACCCAGGACACCCTGGATGGACTATGTTTCTCGGCTGGCCTGGGAGCGCCTTGGGATTTCCCCGGAGGAGCTGGCCCAAGTGGCTGGAGAGAGGGACGTCTGGGTGTAAATCAGTATGAACCAGTTTAAACCAATGTGAACCAATGTCAATGAGTGTGAACCAACGTGAACCAGTGTGAACCAATGTGAAACAGTGTGAACCAATATGAAACAGTTTAAACCAATGTGAACCAATGTGAACCAATATGCTGATGAAGGTTCTCAGTCATCCAGGTCATAGTCATTCCGTAAAAATTCAAAAAATATCCACTGGACTTGGTTTTCAAGATTTGAAGACGTTTCTCCACCTCTCCAGGAAGCTTTCTCAATTCAAATGTCTGGATCCGCAGTGAGTTTGAGTCTTATATAGACAACGCCTTGTATCGCTTGGAAACATGCAATGGTAACCGATGAATGGGTCGTTAGTTCCATTGTTAGCCTGTAATACCTGAACCTGTAATGTGCCTGTAATGTGAACCAATGTTAACCAGTGTGAACCAATGTGAACAAGTGTGAACCAGAGATGGGCAATGTGGAGTCAACAAGTGATCTCCATGTCATGTATTTAATCTACCCAGTCAATTAACCAGGTGAGTCCAATCTGCACAGGTTAATTCACGGTGAAGATTGGACTCACCTGCTTCAGTGGCTGGGTAGAACAAATACATGACATGGAGATGACTTGCTGACTCCACATTTCCCATCTCTAGTGTGAACCAATGTGAACCAGGGTGAACCAGTGTGAACCAATGTGAACCAGTGTGAACCAACGTGAACCAGTGTGAACCAATGTGAACAAGTGTTTACCAATGTGAACCAGTGTGAACCAATGTGAACAAGTGTTTACCAATGTGAACCAGTGTGAACCAATGTGAACGAGTGTGAACCAACGTGAACCAGTTTGAACCAATGTGAACCAGTGTGAACCAGTGTGAACTAGTTTCAACCAATTTGAACCAACGTGAACCAGTGTGAACCAATGTGAACCGATGTGAACCAGTGTGAATGAGTGTGAACCAGTGGGAACCAATGTAAAACAATGTGAACCAGTGTGAACAGATGTAAACCAGTGTGAATGTGAAAAGTGCTCAGTAGGAAAGTGCAGAGGTGGAAACTGTGTTCAGAAATCTTTAAGGGTCTGGGAGATGTGACAGAAAGAGTATTTAGCTGAAATGGAGAGAGCCTGAGCACCAGCACTGCACCAGCAGTATGCCTTACCCAGCTGCACCAAACAGGGCGTTGCTGTGGGGGGAGGGGAGCCCCTTACTCTTGCAAATATTGTCTTGTTTTGGCTTTTTAACAGCGCCTCAATCTGATTTTCTTTTATTACCCTTTTTTCTTCTCCTGATTATCAAAGCCTGTTTTTTATTTGTTGATTAATCAGTCGGTTTGTCTCTCCTTCAGGTCCATCACCACATCTTACTACCGTAACTCTGTTGGGGGACTGCTAGTCTTTGACCTCACTAACCGCAAGACCTTTGACCACGTCAAAGAATGGCATAAGGAGGTGAGTGAGCACATCCTGCCTCACCACATGGTCTATATCCTCATCGGCCACAAGAGCGACCTCCAGAAGGACCGCAAGGTGAGCCGGGATGAGGCGGAGCAGCTGGCTGCTGAGCTGGGGATCCGCTACATCGAGACGTCGGCTAAATGCAACAGCAACGTGGACCGCGCCTTTGAGCTGCTGACCAGAGATATCTACGAGCTCATGAAGATGGGCGAGATTGTTACCCGGGATGGTTGGGATGGTGTGAAAAGTGGCCTCACTGCTAAGGTCCTCTACCCTGGTGATGAAGAAGAGGAACTCACCACTGCTTCGGCTGAGAAGGGCTGCCATTGCTAACTCTATAAACTCTCCCTACTGAGGGACCCCCCCCCCACCATGTCACAGCTGTCCGTGATAACCTGCACCCTGTGGTCGCTCTTCTTTTCCTCCTTTGCAGATTGTGCACTTGTCAGTCTCATTGCAGGTGGGATCTAATAATCCATGCAGTGAAGCAGCTAAACCCAAGGTTAAACAAACAGAAACCACTCCTTTGCTCTCTCACTGCAGAAGCAAATGAACATTTGCCATCTGGTGATGATGAAATACCCCCACTGCAACATGGTCCATTCCCTCCTATTGGTGTTAGCACTGATGCCAGACCGCTTCAGAACTTTAACTGGTTTATAAATACTGTCAGAAACAGAGAATATCTGTAGTTAAGATGTTTAGATAGAGACCATTGTTCCAACGATTAGTGGTTCCAGTTCAGTTACCTGTAAATAACATTAGTTACAAAATGTGCACTAAAGGTGTTGATGTCTCCACTATAATTATTTGACAAGGTGAAAAGAAAAAAACTTGATTCCAATCTGCAGCTTTTTGTTGCTTCCTCAACCATTTGTTGATTTAATGGATGTTTGTAAAACTGTCACACAAACACCTTAGATATTTAAACCACTGCTATACTTTGAAAGATGCTTTTAATAAGCTGGACGGTTGACTGAGGAACTTTGGTCCGTTATTGTTGTCCTGACTCACTGTATTTAAGGCTCTGATGTACCGTGGCAAAAACTGTTTAGTGACATCATGCAATATGTTGGTTTAATGACATCATGTTTGCAATCATCTTCATTTCATAGAAATGCAGCAGCCTGAAATCTGATCTCACAGCAAACCAAACCGTTACCGATTCCTCTACAAAGCTAGCATCACAGTCTGTAAAACGCTAAATAGATGAGCTAATTAGTATAATGTTAAATGCTAAAACACCTGTTCACCATCAGGCCGGAAAAGAACCTAGTTTTATTTGCTGTGACCACAGAATAACTGAAAATAGATGGCTAATAAACAACCGGCATTCAGTGAGATCCTGATGGCCGGAACGTTTAGTTCACTTAATCCACCAGTTTAATTAGTTTAGCTATTAGCTGATTCATTACAGCTTTCAATGGGTTTTTATACAAGTATGAAGCATACGCAGCATTGCAGAGATCAAGAGTGATGAGTTTAATGGTTGTGTTTTTGGACTGTGGGAAAGAACCAGGGTACCAGGAGAGAACAAGGGTATATGGAGAGAACAATGTTACCAGGAGAGAACAAGGGTACCAGGAGAGAACAATGGTACCAGGAGGGAACCAGGGTACCAGGAGAGAACAATTGTACCAGGAGAGAACCAGGGTACCAGGAGAGAACAAGGGTACCAGGAAAGAACCAGGGTACCAGGAGAGAACAAGGGTACCAGGAGAGAACAAGGGTACCAGTAGAGAACAAGGGTACCAGGAGGGAACCAGGGTACCAGGAGAGAACAATGGTACCAGGAGAGAACCAGGGTACCAGGAGAGAACAAGGGTACCAGGAGAGAACAAGGGTACCAGGAGGGAACCAGGGTACCAGGAGAGAACAATGGTACCAGGAGAGAACCAGGGTACCAGGAGAGAACAAGGGTACCAGGAGGGAACCAGGGTACCAGGAGAGAACAAGGGTACCAGGAGAGAACCAGGGTACCAGGAGGGAACCAGTGTACCAGGAGAGAACAAGGGTACCAGGAGAGAACAAGGGTACCAGTAGAGAACCAGGGTACCAGGAGAGAACAAGGGTACCAGGAGAGAACCAGGGTACCAGGAGAGAACCAGGGTACCAGGAGAGAACCAGGGTACCAGGAGAGAACAAGGGTACCAGGAGAGAACCAGGGTACCAGGAGAGAACCAGGGTACCAGGAGAGAACCAGGGTACCAGGAGAGAACAAGGGTACCAGGAGAGAACCGGGGTACCAGGAGAGAAATGTTGGGTGGGTGTCTTTTCAGCGGGAGCCTCGATTCTGGACTGAATAAATGAACATTTCTACTGAAAAGTGCAACTATCAGAATAACATCCTGCTGAAAAATTAGAAAATCACATCATAACTGCAATGGAGCCTCTCTCCACGCAGGAACGATGATGATAAGTGTGACTAAAAAAAAAGTTTCAGGGAAGATGGAACTACTTTAACTGGAGAAATGCATTTCTTTTAGCATAAGTTTACTGTCCTCTAATATGCTGGATTAAACAATAAAATGTACTTTGCCATTCATCTGTCTTCCTCTCCTACTCAGTTTTTACCAGCATCTCATCACTCATCACCAACCCCACATTCATCCAGGTTATAGAGATTAATACAGATTAATGCAGGATTATGAACCTGCATTATGTCTGCAATAAAGAGTTGCACAGATTATTAGATTAATTCATCCCACGACTGAACTACAGGGGAAGCTTTTATTCTTTGCTCTCACGGTCAGATTTACTTTAACTTACATTTTTAATCATGTGAAGTATTTAATATGTCTTCAGTGCAGGGAAAGTCTTTATTTTAGCGGTGCTCTGCTTTGAAATGAAAGAAATGTATCTGACTAAGTTCCAGTCTTTTCCACCCATCTGTCTCCAACGTTTTAGTCAAAGATGGCCGACTTGTTTAGTTGGAAAAATAAAGATGATTTAAACATTCTTTTTGAAAGAGTGCTTTGTTGTTCTTGTTTCTTATCAAATGCTTCTGTTACCAAAGAAATTAAAACAAAGATTAGGATTGAAATGTTTGCAATGTTTTCAGTTCCCACTGCCACTACCAGCTGATTGATCCCGGGTTTAAACAGGTTTTAATTTAAAGTGCTGTGATTTTATGTTCTATTCTATTCCCAGCCAGCTGGGAATTTATATTTCTGATACTTTAAAGGAATAGTACACTCAAAACATGATTAGCCTTCATTTTCTACTCACCCCCATGCTGAACAAAACTCTGGAGTACTTCTTTGATATCTCAAATGCATCTGGAGATCTGGGAGGCTTCTTGCTGTCTGCTGACATTCAAATAATGGAGGTCTATGGCGCCCGAGGCAGAAAGGTCCACAAAAGTCCACAAAAACGTGTCAATATTCCTCCATACTGCTCGTCCAATGTAATCCAAGTGTCCTGAGTGGGTAGCGTCCATAATTTACTCGAAACGAAGTCATTTAGAACGTTTTAGAGCCTAAACAGTAGTGTATAGGATTTCCTAATAGCGCCCCCATGCGCGCTCACGATTCTACGGAAGCCGGCAGACCAAACCAGCGCATTCAGCTGCTCTTCCTCAACACTGAAGTCTTCAGACATTTTTTTTTCGTTGTTTCTTTGTTTGCACAGGTAAACAGCACATTTCTTCTTCTACGCTTGCATTATCGGCACAGCAGACGCTGAATGCGCACTTTCTTCCGGTTTGGTCTGCCGGCTTCCGTAGAATCGTGAGCGCGCATGGGGGCGCTATTAGGAAATCCTATACACTACTGTTTAGGCTCTAAAACGTTCTAAATGACTTCGTTTCGAGTAAATTCTGGATGCTACCCACTCAGGACACTTGGATTACATTGGACGAGCAGTATGGAGGAATATTGACACGTTTTTGTGGACTTTTGTGGACCTTTCTGTCTCGGGCGCCATAGACCTCCATTATTTGAATGTCAGCAGACAGCAAGAAGCCTCCCAGATCTCCAGATGCATTTGAGATATCAAAAAAGTACTCCAGAGTGTTGTTCAGCATGGGGGTGAGTAGAAAATGAAGGCTAATCATGTTTTGGGTGTACTATTCCTTTAAGTTGTTTATTGCCCTCCCCGGTAGGGGGGGGGTGGAATATCTTATGTAATCAGATATTATTTCAGCTGTTATATAGTGTTAATGACACACAGTCCTACTAACTGTGTGTTAGAACAATAAATGAAAGAGTGATTCGAGCACTAATCATGGTCACTGCATTATGTATTGCAAAGAAAACTATCCTCATGAATTGGAAAAGTAAGGATAAACTCAGCATCAATCAGTACAGAGATCTGTTGTTGGATCATTTTAATCCTGAGACAGCATCTGCATCCCCATCAGACCGATCTCTCTGGGCTCCTTTGATCGGCTCCATCACTTAGTGTAGTGGGAGGCTGTGGGGCGCGTCCTGCGGGGTGCGGGGGCTGGTTCGGGGGTCCTTTGGTCCTTGGGGGCTCAGAGGGCGCTCGGTGTGGGGTGCCTGGCGGGTCTGAAACTCCCATCAGGGCGAGGCTTGGGACGCCTCTGGGCATCCTACAGCGGCCTCTTGCGGTGCCCCCGGGGATTGCTTGTGGAGGACGTGAGCTACTGGCCTGGTAGCTGGGCTGGGTGGGTCTGGGGTCCCTGGGGCAGGTTGCCCTCGGGCAGGTGCCCCGTTGGGGGTTCGGGTTCTGTGGGAAGTGCTGGCCGACCAGAGTTGTCTTCTCTCCCTTTTTTTTTGGATGGACAGGATGGGTGGGGGGGCATTGTCGGCCCTGTGGCCGGCTGACTTGTGGGCCCTGCTGCTGGTCCCTGGCTAAGGTGGTACGATTGATGGTGCTCTCGGGGAACGGGGGTGCCTATTGGAGTCAGTGGGGGAGCTGGCTCCCTGGCAGTGCAGTAAGCACCCCAGTCCTTTGCTCCCCATCCCCGAAATCCTCCCTCTGCCTGCTCCATCACACTGCCACACATGTAGGTTCTTGGGGAGGGGGTCGTTACTGGAGGGTCCCACATTCGGATGACGTCCCCCACCCCAATTTTATTTTGCATTTTAGACACTTCCATCTAAAACATTTTCACAACACACATCTATGTTGGGCATTTTCTGGGGGGTGGGGGTCAAAGGGCACCGGGTGGGGGGCTTACTTCATGGGCCTCACCACGGTCGGCTCCCCCATCCCCTCTCGCATTTAGACATTGAGGGTTCTGGGTTGTCAATGGGGGGGTGTGCTGGCACCGCCTGTCTTCCAGAAGGGGGGTAAAATGTGCCGGACACCCCCTTTTGGTACTCCCACTTTTAATTACATCTGAGAGAAACACCACATTGGAGCAGGCGCAGGGAGGATTGGGCTCTTCTCACACCCCTGTTCCCCGGCTGCCGCCCAGAGTCTGGGGCCTGGAGGAAGAGCGAGCCGCCTGGTCCGTGGTCTTGGCGTGGGGCAGCTGTGGGGTCTGGTAGGCCTGCTGGTGGCGGGTCTGTCACCTCTGCTCTCCCCAAAGAAGGTTGGAGGGAGAGGCGTGTAGTGGCTGGGTGAATTAGTTGGGATGGGGGGGCTCTGGTTGGGTGGCCTGCGCGGGTCATGTGGGCGCCGGTCCCGGGGGAGCTTTTGCTGGGGGTGGACTGGTCCGGGTGCGGGATGGGGGGCCAGCCTTGAAGCAGGAACGAGATGGGTTGGTGTGGTGGTGTCCCCGCTCCCCTCTCCCCCAATCCAGATTTTAGGTTCACTTATTGGGTCATCCGATAATCCCGGTACCGACCACCGGTGCCGCCGGGTCTTTGGTCCTGGAATTATTGGATGTGAGTGTTGTTTGTGAATTTGAGTCCCACTCACACCACACAGAGTCTGTGTGTGTGAGTGGGGCACTAGGGTAGGAAGGCGTGATTGCGACTGTGAAGTTTTTTTTTTTCTCTTCCAGGTTGGGGTCTGAACTGCCCCCTCTCCCAAGCACATCTCAAGCTCCAAGTGCGGAGCCCATTCCCCCAGTCCTGCTCTCCCTCCTCTGCCTGGTGCACTGGTGGAGCTCGAGATTCTATCCTGGCTTCTCTTCATTGGCTTCCTGTTAAATCCAGAATAGAATTTAAAATCCTCCTTCTCACATATAAAGCCTTAAATGGCCAAGCTCCATCTGATATCAGAGATCTGATTGTTCCTTATGTTCCTAACAGAGCACTTCGCTCTCAATCTGCAGGTTTACTAGTGGTTCCTAGAATTTCTAAAAGTAGAATGGGAGGCAGATCTTTTAGTTCTCAGGCTCCTCTCCTGTGGAACCAACTACCAGTTTTAGTCCGTGAGGCAGACACCCTGTCTACTTTTAAGGCTAGGCTTAAAACTTTCCTTTTTGATAAAGCTTCTAGTTGAGGAAATATTTACGTCATATTTAAACAGAAAAAAAACAATAAGAGAGAAATATTCAAAGATCTATGAACCTTTTCATTTAGCTGCTTCCATTCAGGAACATTTACATCGGATGCAGCTACTACTTCAGAGTATCGACTGCTGTGAATACACACCAGCTTAGCCTTATGAAGGCAACCAGGGTACGATAGCAACAGCTAAAAACCCTGTAAAGAGAGAGTTGTAAACATGTTGACATCAAATATAATTTTGTAGGATCTACTGTGAAGGGTGGAAAGATGTGTCTAAGCTATTGTCCAACAGAACAGCTGGTAGCAGACATATTGACCGGGTAACAACATGTGGGTTAGTCAAGTTTCAATGCTTTCTCTGTGGAAGGTAACATGGTGGATATCTGCTGATCATTGCAGTGATGCCGCCCAGCTGGCTGCACCTGAAACGGATCATTTTTTCTATTATTTTGTTATTTCATTTTTAGTTTTTTAAGAATTAAACCAGGATTAATCCAGGATTTATTGAGCCTATTGTGTCTGTAAATAAGACAGAGGCTAAACAGACAGAAAGCTCCCAGAGCTGAGAATGAAGCTTTATGAATCCGACCAGGCAACAGCAAACACCATCAGATGTTAGCAGCAGCTAAACGCTGGCAGATGTTTAACAGGATCTTCACAGTAAATAACTGCCTCTGTTCCTCCTCCTTCATCATGGAAATAGATGATCCAAAACTCAGTATATAAATACATATACATGCAAAATGAAAAACATTATTATTTCTTTCCTAATTAATGCTAATTGTAAAATAAAATGGCCTCCAGATGTTTCTATTGAACCCTGGACAGCTGCAGTGCATTGGGTCCATCATGCAGCAGCCTGGATTCAAATCTGTGTCAATATTAAAACAGTGTAGTTATATTTCTATAATCAGATTAAATTACAACCATTAAAAGACATTAGTAATTTGGATCATTCTGACGAGCCTCTTGAAGCAGCAATATAAAAAAATACATATTTTATTGTCATTTCATGTCCAGATTAATGAAAAACAGGCTCTCAGGTCCTGACTCCAAAAGTTCCCCACGGCTCTGGAAGAGTTGGAGCTAAAGGTCTAAAATGTTCTGCAGTTGTGGTTGACATGATGTAGAGCAAATGAGACCTGCTTTTTCTCAAGCATGACTTTATTACTGCTGTTCAAAAAAGAACTATCATTTTCAAGAAGAAAAGAACACCTTTAAGTCATGTTTGAACTGATGCAGCTTGGTCTGCTTTTACTCTAGTCAACAGAAACTAGAAGCTGTTAGCTTTCAAATAACGCATCACAATCTGGGTTTACAGTTCCTCAGTTAATTGCTTTTCCATTTGGGTTTGCAAAATAGGTGAGGATTAGGCTACTTCAAAGTGAGAGGGATGTTAAGAGGTTAATAAAGTTATAGTGAAGGGCCCAATATCAATGTCTTTCCTGGCCCATTCCATCATCTATACATTTTGTTTGGGTTTTACTAGCTATAAATTACAGTGCTGCTGTTAAGCTAATAAATGTAGCATTAAAAATTAGCCTGTTTGAACCACAGCCAATCAGAAGCACCTGGAATAACCTGCTGCATTATTAGAGGGCAAAATTACATTAGATCAACATTGTGTCAATACTTTAAGTCTATTTGTTTTATGGAGTTTATCTAAAAACTAAAAACCATATTGATCCTATATGCTGGCGTCACTTTGTTTCTCCTATGTTTTATTTATTAATTATGCTCTTATTCCACTTTCCTTCAATTCAAATCCCATCAACCAATAGGATCTCAGCAGTGATGACGGGTTTCCTTTACCTTCCCATCATACTGTTCGTGTGTTCCCTACATTCAGAAAATAATAATAATTGTGTTGCTGATTTGAGGTTCAAAACAAAATCACAAAAGCGAAAAAGTTGATCATAAAGTTTAACGTCACTCATCTTCACAGGAAACTACTGCAAAGGAAAAACAGAGATAAAAACCGTGAGTGAGAAAGGGAGCAGCCGAGCTGATAATCAGCCCAGTTTCGGCTGTTAGCTTTAAAAAGGGCTTCTGCTGTGATTGGCACAGAGAAGTCAGGTGACCTGGCGTCTCTGCGGAATCGCTATCAAGAGATTTCGGAAGCACAATTTTTATAAACCGAGGCTGCTGGTAACCGGAAGTTCTAGCGCCTCATTATCCCGGTTCAAATCAATGTAGAGATAGAAACACGTGTTGATCCAGTTATTATAGGAATAAAGCAGAGCATTCTAGTAACGCAGCTCTGTGTTTGCGCTCCTCAGGTTAACATGATCTCATTAAATCATCAAACGCCGCCGAACATGAGTATGTTCTATGATGGGTCTAGATCTATGTTAAATAGACATTAGATGGATAGATATGGGAGTAGATGAGTACATTTCTGACATGGTTGCTTCTTTGCGGCCAGCGCTGTTAAACAGGAAGTAGTGCTACAACAGGCCAGTGCGCATGCGCCGGAGCTCCTAGCATCTAGGGCCGTTTGTCTTCATTAAACGGTAAGGACGGGCCTTTTCTCCTCTCTCTGACTCTAGGTAGCAGCTACCGCTCACCGCCGGCCGCTCCAGCTCCACTCACGGAGCTTTGAGCCGCGGGGCTCCGCTTGACTCGCGGCAGGGTTCAGCCAGCCAGCCTCGCGCAGAATGGAGGGGCAACGCCGCCGTCGTCGCGCCGTTGTTTGCCGTACGTGCCGCCGCACAGGGAGACGTCATTTTGAGGGGGAGCGGAGAGTTAAAAAGCAGAGTTACGAAGGGACGTACGGTTCATAGACAGGCGGCACGCAGCCGTCACACTTTAACCGCTCAGCTTGATCGGTGCAGCGGCTCCTACAGCCTGCCCTCCTCCAGGAGCTGTAATGGCTGCCGGAGGAGGGGAGCTAAACAGCTGCCTTTACGGCCCCAGGAGCTGTAAAGGCAGCTGTAATGGAACATGGAGGTTAGGAGGAGGAACATGGAGGTTTGGAGGAGGAACAAGGAGGTTATGAGGAGGAACATTGAGGTTAGGAGGAGAAACATGGAGTTTAGGAGGAGGAACATGGAGGTTACAGGTTAGGAGGAAAAAGATGGAGGTTATGAGGAGGAACATTGAGGTTAGGAGGAGGAACATTGAGTTTAGGAGGAGGAACATGGAGGTTACAGGTTAGGAGGAAAAAGATGGAGGTTATGAGGAGGAACATTGAGGTTAGGAGGAGAAACATGGAGTTTAGGAGGAGGAACATGGAGGTTACAGGTTAGGAGGAAAAAGATGGAGGTTATGAGGAGGAACATTGAGGTTAGGAGGAGAAACATGGAGTTTAGGAGGAGGAACATGGAGGTTACAGGTTATAAGGAGAAAGATGGAGGTTATGAGGAGAAAGATGGAGTTTAGGAGGAGGAACATGGAGTTTAGGAGGAGGAACATGGAGGTTACAGGTTATGAGGAGGAACATGGAGGTTACAGGTTATAAGGAGAAAGATGGAGGTTATGAGGAGAAAGATGGAGTTTAGGAGGAGGAACATGGAGTTTAGGAGGAGGAACATGGAGGTTACAGGTTATAAGGAGAAAGATGGAGGTTATGAGGAGAAAGATGGTGTTTAGGAGGAGGAACATGGAGTTTAGGAGGAGGAACATGGAGGTTACAGGTTATGAGGAGGAACATGGAGGTGAGGAGGAGGAACATGGAGGTTACAGGTTAGGAGGAAAAAGATGGAGGTTATGAGGAGGAACATTGAGGTTATAAGGAGAAAGATGGAGGTTATGAGGAGAAAGATGGAGTTTAGGAGGAGGAACATGGAGGTTACAGGTTAGGAGGAGGAACATGGAGGTGAGGAGGAGGAACATGGAGGTTACAGGTTAGGAGGAAAAAGATGGAGGTTATGAGGAGGAACATTGAGGTTATAAGGAGAAAGATGGAGGTTATGAGGAGAAAGATGGAGTTTAGGAGGAGGAACATGGAGGTTACAGGTTAGGAGGAGAAAGATGGAGGTTATGAGGAGGAACATGGAGGTTAGGAGGAGAAACATGGAGTTTAGGAGGAGGAACATGGAGGTTACAGGTTATAAGGAGAAAGATGGAGGTTATGAGGAGAAAGATGGAGTTTAGGAGGAGGAACATGGAGGTTACAGGTTAGGAGGAGAAAGATGGAGGTTATGAGGAGGAACATGGAGGTTAGGAGGAGAAACATGGAGTTTAGGAGGAGGAACATGGAGGTTACAGGTTAGGAGGAGAAAGATGGAGGTTATGAGGAGGAACATGGAGGTTATGAGGAGAAACATGGAGTTTAGGAGGAGGAACATGGAGGTTACAGGTTTAGGAGGAGAAAGATGGAGGTTATGAGGAGGAACATGGAGGTTAGGAGGAGGAACATGGAGGTTACAGGTTATAAGGAGAAAGATGGAGGTTATGAGGAGAAAGATGGAGTTTAGGAGGAGGAACATGGAGGTTACAGGTTATAAGGAGAAAGATGGAGGTTATGAGGAGAAAGATGGAGTTTAGGAGGAGGAACATGGAGGTTACAGGTTTAGGAGGAGAAAGATGGAGGTTATGAGGAGGAACATGGAGGTTAGGAGGAGAAACATGGAGTTTAGGAGGAGGAACATGGAGGTTACAGGTTATGAGGAGGAACATGGAGGTGAGGAGGAGGAACATGGAGGTTACAGGTTAGGAGGAAAAAGATGGAGGTTATGAGGAGGAACATTGAGGTTATAAGGAGAAAGATGGAGGTTATGAGGAGAAAGATGGAGTTTAGGAGGAGGAACATGGAGGTTACAGGTTAGGAGGAGAAAGATGGAGGTTATGAGGAGGAACATGGAGGTTAGGAGGAGAAACATGGAGTTTAGGAGGAGGAACATGGAGGTTACAGGTTTAGGAGGAGAAAGATGGAGGTTATAAGGAGAAAGATGGAGGTTATGAGGAGAAAGATGGAGTTTAGGAGGAGAAAGATGGAGGTTAGGAGGAGGAACATGGAGGTTAGGAGGAGAAACATGGAGTTTAGGAGGAGGAACATGGAGGTTACAGGTTATGAGGAGGAACATGGAGGTTACAGGTTATGAGGAGAAACATGGAGTTTAGGAGGAGGAACATGGAGGTTACAGGTTAGGAGGAAAAAGATGGAGGTTATGAGGAGGAACATTGAGGTTAGGAGGAGAAACATGGAGTTTAGGAGGAGAAACATGGAGGTTACAGGTTATGAGGAGGAACATGGAGGTTACAGTTTATGAGGAGGAACATGGAGGTTACAGGTTATGAGGAGGAACATGGAGGTTACAGGGTATGAGGAGGAACATGGAGGTTACAGGTTATGAGGAGGAACATGGAGGTTACAGGTTATGAGGAGGAACATGGAGGTTACAGGTTATGAGGAGGAACATGGAGGTTACAGGTTATGAGGAGAAACATGGAGTTTAGGAGGAGGAACATGGAGGTTACAGGTTAGGAGGAAAAAGATGGAGGTTATGAGGAGGAACATTGAGGTTAGGAGGAGAAACATGGAGTTTAGGAGGAGGAAGATGGAGGTTACAGGTTTAGGAGGAGAAAGATGGAGGTTATGAGGAGGAACATGGAGGTTAGGAGGAGGAACAAGGAGGTTACAGGTTAGGAGGAAAAAGATGGAGGTTATGAGGAGGAACATTGAGGTTAGGAGGAGAAACATGGAGTTTAGGAGGAGGAACATGGAGGTTACAGGTTTAGGAGGAGAAAGATGGAGGTTATGAGGAGGAACATGGAGGTTAGGAGGAGGAACAAGGAGGTTACAGGTTAGAAGGAAAAAGATGGAGGTTATGAGGAGGAACATGGAGGTTTGGAGGAGGAACAAGGAGGTTATGAGGAGGAACATTGAGGTTAGGAGGAGAAACATGGAGTTTAGGAGGAGGAACATGGAGGTTACAGGTTAGGAGGAAAAAGATGGAGGTTATGAGGAGGAACATTGAGGTTAGGAGGAGAAACATGGAGTTTAGGAGGAGGAACATGGAGGTTACAGGTTAGGAGGAAAAAGATGGAGGTTATGAGGAGGAACATTGAGGTTAGGAGGAGAAACATGGGGTTTAGGAGGAGGAACATGGAGGTTACAGGTTAGGAGGAGGAACATGGAGGTGAGGAGGAGGAACATGGAGGTTAGGAGGAGAAACATGGAGTTTAGGAGGAGGAACATGGAGGTTACAGGTTATAAGGAGAAAGATGGAGGTTATGAGGAGAAAGATGGAGGTTATGAGGAGAAAGATGGAGTTTAGGAGGAGGAACATGGAGGTTACAGGTTAGGAGGAGAAAGATGGAGGTTATGAGGAGGAACATGGAGGTTAGGAGGAGAAACATGGAGTTTAGGAGGAGGAACATGGAGGTTACAGGTTAGGAGGAGAAAGATGGAGGTTATGAGGAGGAACATGGAGGTTATGAGGAGAAACATGGAGTTTAGGAGGAGGAACATGGAGGTTACAGGTTTAGGAGGAGAAAGATGGAGGTTATGAGGAGGAACATGGAGGTTAGGAGGAGGAACATGGAGGTTACAGGTTATAAGGAGAAAGATGGAGGTTATGAGGAGAAAGATGGAGTTTAGGAGGAGGAACATGGAGGTTACAGGTTTAGGAGGAGAAAGATGGAGGTTATGAGGAGGAACATGGAGGTTAGGAGGAGAAACATGGAGTTTAGGAGGAGGAACATGGAGGTTACAGGTTATGAGGAGGAACATGGAGGTGAGGAGGAGGAACATGGAGGTTACAGGTTAGGAGGAAAAAGATGGAGGTTATGAGGAGGAACATTGAGGTTATAAGGAGAAAGATGGAGGTTATGAGGAGAAAGATGGAGTTTAGGAGGAGGAACATGGAGGTTACAGGTTAGGAGGAGAAAGATGGAGGTTATGAGGAGGAACATGGAGGTTAGGAGGAGAAACATGGAGTTTAGGAGGAGGAACATGGAGGTTACAGGTTATAAGGAGAAAGATGGAGGTTATGAGGAGAAAGATGGAGTTTAGGAGGAGGAAGATGGAGGTTACAGGTTTAGGAGGAGAAAGATGGAGGTTATGAGGAGGAACATGGAGGTTAGGAGGAGAAACATGGAGTTTAGGAGGAGGAACATGGAGGTTACAGGTTATGAGGAGGAACATGGAGGTTACAGGTTATGAGGAGAAACATGGAGTTTAGGAGGAGGAACATGGAGGTTACAGGTTATGAGGAGGAACATGGAGGTTACAGGTTATGAGGAGAAACATGGAGTTTAGGAGGAGGAACATGGAGGTTACAGGTTATGAGGAGAAACATTGAGGTTAGGAGGAGAAACATGGAGTTTAGGAGGAGAAACATGGAGGTTACAGGTTATGAGGAGGAACATGGAGGTTACAGGTTATGAGGAGGAACATGGAGGTTACAGGTTATGAGGAGGAACATGGAGGTTACAGGTTATGAGGAGGAACATGGAGGTTACAGGGTATGAGGAGGAACATGGAGGTTACAGGTTATGAGGAGGAACATGGAGGTTACAGGTTATGAGGAGGAACATGGAGGTTACAGGTTATGAGGAGGAACATGGAGGTTACAGGTTATGAGGAGAAACATGGAGTTTAGGAGGAGGAACATGGAGGTTACAGGTTAGGAGGAAAAAGATGGAGGTTATGAGGAGGAACATTGAGGTTAGGAGGAGAAACATGGAGTTTAGGAGGAGGAAGATGGAGGTTACAGGTTTAGGAGGAGAAAGATGGAGGTTATGAGGAGGAACATGGAGGTTAGGAGGAGGAACATGGAGGTTACAGGTTAGGAGGAAAAAGATGGAGGTTATGAGGAGGAACATTGAGGTTAGGAGGAGAAACATGGAGTTTAGGAGGAGGAACATGGAGGTTACAGGTTATGAGGAGGAACATGGAGGTTACAGGTTATGAGGAGGAACATGGAGGTTACAGGTTATGAGGAGGAACATGGAGGTTACAGGTTATGAGGAGGAACATGGAGGTTACAGGTTATGAGGAGAAACATGGAGTTTAGGAGGAGGAACATTGAGGTTACAGGTTAGGAGGAAAAAGATGGAGGTTATGAGGAGGAACATTGAGGTTAGGAGGAGAAACATGGAGTTTAGGAGGAGGAAGATGGAGGTTATGAGGAGGAACATGGAGGTTAGGAGGAGGAAGATGGAGGTTACAGGTTAGGAGGAAAAAGATGGAGGTTATGAGGAGGAACATTGAGGTTAGGAGGAGAAACATGGAGTTTAGGAGGAGGAAGATGGAGGTTACAGGTTTAGGAGGAGAAAGATGGAGGTTATGAGGAGAAAGATGGAGTTTAGGAGGAGGAACATGGAGGTTACAGGTTTAGGAGGAGAAAGATGGAGGTTATGAGGAGGAACATGGAGGTTAGGAGGAGAAACATGGAGTTTAGGAGGAGGAACATGGAGGTTACAGGTTATGAGGAGGAACATGGAGGTGAGGAGGAGGAACATGGAGGTTACAGGTTAGGAGGAAAAAGATGGAGGTTATGAGGAGGAACATTGAGGTTATAAGGAGAAAGATGGAGGTTATGAGGAGAAAGATGGAGTTTAGGAGGAGGAACATGGAGGTTACAGGTTAGGAGGAGAAAGATGGAGGTTATGAGGAGGAACATGGAGGTTAGGAGGAGAAACATGGAGTTTAGGAGGAGGAACATGGAGGTTACAGGTTATGAGGACGAACATGGAGGTGAGGAGGAGGAACATGGAGGTTACAGGTTATGAGGACGAACATGGAGGTTACAGGTTATGAGGAGGAACATGGAGGTTAGGAGGAGAAAGATGGAGGTTAGGAGGAAGAACGTGGAGGTTAGGAGGAGAAAGATGGAGGTTACAGGTTAGGAGGAAAAAGATGGAGGTTATGAGGAGGAACATTGAGGTTAGGAGGAGGAACATGGAGGTTACAGGTTAGGAGGAAAAAGATGGAGGTTATGAGGAGGAACATTGAGGTTAGGAGGAGGAACATGGAGGTTACAGGTTATGAGGAGAAACATGGAGGTTACAGGTTATGAGGAGGAACATGGAGGTTAGGAGGAGAAAGATGGAGGTTAGGAGGAGGAACATGGAGGTTACAGGTTAGGAGGAAAAAGATGGAGGTTATGAGGAGGAACATGGAGGTTACAGGTTATGAGGAGGAACATGGAGGTTACAGGTTATGAGGAGGAACATGGAGGTTAGGAGGAGAAAGATGGAGGTTAGGAGGAAGAACGTGGAGGTTAGGAGGAGAAAGATGGAGGTTAGGAGGAGAAAGATGGAGGTTATGAGGTGAAACATGGAGGTTAGGAGGAGGAACATGGAAGTTAGGAGGAGAAAGATGGAGATTAGGAGGAGGAACATGGAGGTTATGAGGAGAAAGATGGAGATTAGGAGGAGGAACGTGGAGGTTAGGAGGAGGAATGTGGAGGTTAGGAGGAGAAAGATGGAGGTTAGGAGGAGAAAGATGGAGATTAGGAGGAGAAAGATGGAGGTTAGGAGGAGAAAGATGGAGGTTAGGAGGAGGAACATGGAGGTTAGGAGGAGGAACATGGAGGTGAGGAGGAGGAACATGGAGGTGAGGAGGAGGAACATGGAGGTTAGGAGGAGGAACATGGAGGTGAGGAGGAGGAACATGGAGGTGAGGAGGAGGAACATGGAGGCGGCCGTACCGTGCTGAGCTAGCGGCCGTCTGGCGGCGGCCATGCTGATCTGGTCCTTCTGCATCAGTTTCCATGGTTTCTAAACAGCTGTGTTTTTGGTTTCTCTATAAAACCTGGAACTAAACTCAGTTTCTGAGGTTTTGAACAGAAAAGCTTCCTGGGTGGAAGAGAAACGTCTTCAAACTGGGAACCAGTGGATTGGTTTTAATCGCCTGGATGACTGAGGATCTTCACCAACACTGAGACAATCTTAGATTTAGTTTTTATTGATGGTAATATGGGTTAGTATCTGGGTCTGATCATAGAACTAAGTGCATAGAGCAGCTAGATTGGCCCATTTCTCTCATCCTTCTTTAGTTCCTGTTCTTCACAGAATAACGGTGGACTTCTTAACAGCTGCCCACCCTGCAGCATGGTGTTGGCAGCAGCATGCTGAGGGGCTGATAGTCGTCTCTGAAAACGTTAGCGTAGCTCCCAGTTAGCTGGTGGTTCTGCTGGTTAGAGCCCAACATCTGCTGATGGTGAGGCGGTTCCTCCGTTCCAGATGTTGGGTGAACGCCGCCAGCCGGCCTAAGGTGGTGACCATGGCGAGCACTGAGGAGGTGACGGTGTCTGTGGGGGACATGGTGGTGGTGAAAGCCGAGGATGAGGCCGATTCAGACGACCCCAATAAAACCCAGGTCATCCTGCAGCTGCAGCCCATCAGCGCCGGGTACGTACCGCAGCACAGACCGCATCAGCAGAACCTCTGGTTCTGGTTCTAACGGAACCTGCTTCTCCTGCAGAGACGAGTCTGAGACAGACGCAGCTGTTATGGCTGTTGAAGCTCAGTCAGGTGAGAGGTTCTGAAATAAGCTCAGAACGTGTCCAGATGTTCTGCAGACCATGTCTCACAGCGTTTGTTCCTGCAGAGCAAACCGAGGGAGAAGACGTGGAGATCGGATGTCCCATCACATGTGGCGACTGCAAAGCTGTGCTGCTGCTCAAGAAGTTTGTTTGTCCTGGAATTAACGTGAAATGTGTGAAGGTAGGGATCGATGGGTCCACTGCTATCTGAGGGGTGAGGGGGAGGAGCCAAACGTTCCTGCTGCACACAACCATCCGGGTTACTCTATGAGGTCAGAACCTCCTGCAGCATCTTCTCTGCACACGGAGGAGGAAGCAGAAAGGGAGGAATTTCAGTTACTTTCAGTTACTTTCTATAGCTGCAGCAGATTGGTTCAAAGTATTCTAAGGAAAACCAGCTGATCAACTTATTGACTCTTCAGCAGAACCAGGCTCAGTGTGAGCGGCCATCTGCTGAGGCCCACTGGGGTTCAAGGAGACAGAAGCAGACATAGAAAAAGAAGCATAGATACAAAAGGCAACTGTCAACCAGCTCCACAGGCGGCCCCATCCAGGAAACACACAGCCAGGCAGACGAGCTCCGAGCCAGCTCCCATGTCAGAGGATGAAGAGAGCACATCCAGTTAGTCACAGTCAGAGAAACAGGACTACACTGGAAAACAGACCAAGCTCCAACATCTAGAAACAAAGGTGTTGATGGCAGCAGCACAGCTGATATTTCTTTCCAGGATGGAGTCACAGCCAAACAGGAACAGACCAGATGAAGCTACTCTGAGGAAAAGCAGAGAGAGCAGAACGTTAGAGATTGAACTAACAGATTCTGCAGAGTGGGAGAATAGAGATAGAATGAAGCAGAATGATGAAAAAGGGGTCCCTATGTCCTCCAGCAGTCTAAGCCTATAGCAGCAGAACTATAGAGATAGCTCAGGATAACCTGAGCCACTCTAACTAGAAGCTTTATCAAAAAGGAAAGTTTTAAGCCTAGCCTTAAAAGTAGACAGGGTGTCTGCCTCACGGACTAAAACTGGTAGTTGGTTCCACAGGAGAGGAGCCTGATAACTAAAAGATCTGCCTCCCATTCTACTTTTAGAAATTCTAGGAACCACTAGTAAACCTGCAGATTGAGAGCGAAGTGCTCTGTTAGGAACATCAGGAACAATCAGATCTCTGATATCAGATGGAGCTTGGCCATTTAAGGCTTTATATGTGAGAAGGAGGATTTTAAATTCTATTCTGGATTTAACAGGAAGCCAATGAAGAGAAGCCAGGATAGGAGAGATGTGATCTCTCTTTTTCATTTTCATTAGAACTCTGGCTGCAGCATTTTGGATCAGCTGAAGGCTTTTAACTACAGTTTGTGGACTTCCTGATAGTAAAGAATTACAATAGTCCAGCCTTGAAGTAACAAATGCATGGACTAGTTTCTCAGCACCATCCCTGGACAGGAGATTGCTCATTTTTGCAATGTTCCTCAGATGAAAGAAGGAAATTCTAGAAACCTCTCTGATCTGGGATTCAATCCTTGTTGGTGCATCACACCAAGTCCAGTCATCCTCCATTACCAGTATAACCATCTCTGGCCAGGTTCCCCTCTCAGTCACCAATCTCAGTCTAAGATTTCATCCACAACTAACCTTTGAATTCACATCAAAAAGCTCTAGAAAATCTCCTTTTATCATCTAAGAAATATCTCTAAACTCTGTTCTACACCCACCTTGGCTGATGCAGAAAAACTGCTCCATGCCTTAGTCTCCTCCAGGCTGAACTACTGTAACACATCCTCATCGGGAACAAGAGTCTGCAGAAACTACAGTTGATTCAGATCAACGCTGCAAGGGTCCTGATGAGAGTCTGAAAGTACGACCACATCTCTCCCTTCACTGGCTTCCTGTTTCTGCAAGGATTGAATACAAGGTCTCAGTTCTCACCCACCAGGGCATCTATGGAACTGCCCCCCCTCCTCACTACAACACGCTCCAAACCCTCACACCACCCCCTCCCCCCAGGACTGATCTAAGCACCATGGTGCCTTCTGCTCTGCCGCTCCTCGCACCGGGAACGTCCCCCTGATCATCTGAGGGAACACAGACTATTTAAAAAAGGGATTACAAACATTTTACAATTATGCTATTGATTATATTCATAAGTGTTTTTAAGCAATGTTTAGTTTTACATTTTACCCTTCTATGATGATTTTACCTGTAGCACTTTAAGATTTAAAAAAAATGTAAAGTGCATTACAATTAAAATGTATTATTATTTAAATGACAGGTCCTGATCAAAAATAACACAATTTTTTACTTTTATTACCTAAAATCAGTTAAATCTCATCCAAATGAAGTGACTGACTAACCAGCTTCTTTTTCACTACTACCTACTTGCACTCATCTAGATGAACATTTCCTGTTTCTCTTCTTATATTGATTCCTAATTACTGCATGTTTGATTAGCAATAATCAGTCATTTAATCTGCTAACCAGATCATTACTGCCTTGATTTGATGTGTTTCTGTGTTTAAAGCTGAACTGGGTCCATTAACTGTCTCCTGCAGTATGAGGACCAGCTGATCAGCCCAAAGCAGTTTGTGCATCTATCTGGAAAGGCCACTCTGAAGGACTGGAAGAGAGCTATCAGGATGGGAGGAGTCATGCTGAGGTGAGACTTCTGGTCCCTTCAGTTTGGACCTCATTGATTCAGGCTGCTGACCCGCTCTGCTGTGGCTCTGAGCAGAGAATGTTCTGTTTCTGCAGGAAGATGATGGATTCAGGTCAACTAGACTTCTATCAGCACAGCACCCTGTGTACCAACACATGCCGCAGTACCAAGTTTGACCTGCTGATCAACAACACTCGCTTCCCTCCGGACAGTACCGGCCTCACCACGCCCACATCCTCTCAGGGTGAGGAGCCCCATCTAAGCCTAACCCAGAGCCAGGGAAGCACCTACCGCTGACGCTACCTACTGCTAACGCTACCTACTGCTGACGCTACCCACTGCTGACGCTACCCACTGCTGACGCTACCTACTGCTAACGCTACCTACTGCTAACGCTACCTACTGCCAACGCTACCTACTGCCAACGCTACCTAATGCTGACGCTACCTACTGCTAACGCTACCTACTGCCAACGCTACCTACTGCCGACGCTACCTACTGCTAACGCTACCTACTGCTAACGCTACCTACTGCTAACGCTACCTACTGCTAACGCTACCTACTGCTAATGCTACCTACTGCTAACGCTACCTACTGCTGACGCTACCCACTGCTGACGCTACCTACTGCTAACGCTACCTACTGCTAACGCTACCCACTGCTGACACTACCTACTGCTAACACTACCTACTGCCAACGCTACCCACTGCTGACACTACCTACTGCTAACGCTACCCACTGCTGACACTACCTACTGCTAACACTACCTACTGCTAACGCTACCCACTGCTGACACTACCTACTGCTGACGCTACCCACTGCTGACGCTACGCACTGCTGACGCTACCCACTGCTAAAGCTACCCACTGCTGACGCTACCTACTGCTGACGCTACCTACTGCTAACGCTACCTACTGCTAACGCTACCTACTGCTAATGCTACGTACTGCCAACGCTACCTACTGCTAATGCTACCCACTGCTGACGCTACCCACTGCTAACACTACCTACTGCTAACGCTACCTACTGCTAATGCTACCTACTGCTAACGCTACCTACTGCTGACGCTACCCACTGCTAATGCTACCCACTGCTAATGCTACCTACTGCTGACGCTACCTACTGCTAATGCTACCCACTGCTAACGCTACCCACTGCTAACGCTACCTACTGCTAACGCTACCTACTGCTAATGCTACCTACTGCTAACGCTACCCACTGCTGACGCTACCTACTGCTAACGCTACCTACTGCTAACACTACCTACTGCTGAAGCTACCCACTGCTAACGCTACCCACTGCTGACGCTACCCACTGCTGACACTACCTACTGCTAACACTACCTACTGCCAACGCTACCCACTGCTGACACTACCTACTGCTAACGCTACCCACTGCTGACACTACCTACTGCTAACACTACCTACTGCTAACGCTACCCACTGCTGACACTACCTACTGCTGACGCTACCCACTGCTGACGCTACGCACTGCTGACGCTACCCACTGCTAAAGCTACCCACTGCTGACGCTATCTACTGCTGACGCTACCTACTGCTGACGCTACCTACTGCTGACACTACCTACTGCTAACGCTACCTACTGCTAACGCTACCTACTGCTAACGCTACCTACTGCTAATGCTACGTACTGCCAACGCTACCTACTGCTAATGCTACCCACTGCTGACGCTACCCACTGCTAACACTACCTACTGCTAACGCTACCTACTGCTAATGCTACCTACTGCTAATGCTACCCACTGCTAATGCTACCTACTGCTGACGCTACCTACTGCTGACGCTACCCACTGCTAAAGCTACCCACTGCTAATGCTACCTACTGCTGACGCTACCTACTGCTGATGCTACCCACTGCTAATGCTATCCACTGCTGATGCTACCTACTGCTAACACTACCTACTGCTAACACTACCCACTGCTAACACTACCTACTGCTAACGCTACCTACTGCTAATGCTACGTACTGCCAACGCTACCTACTGCTAATGCTACCCACTGCTAACACTACCTACTGCTAACGCTACCTACTGCTGATGCTACCTACTGCTGACGCTACCCACTGCTAATGCTACCCACTGCTAATGCTACCTACTGCTGACGCTACCTACTGCTGACGCTACCTATTGCTAAAGCTACCTACTGCTGACGCTACCTACTGCTGACGCTACCTATTGCTAAAGCTACCTACTGCTGACGCTACCTACTGCTGACGCTACCCACTGCTAAAGCTACCCACTGCTAATGCTACCTACTGCTGACGCTACCTACTGCTGATGCTACCCACTGCTAATGCTATCCACTGCTAAAGGTACCTACTGCTAACACTACCCACTGCTAACACTACCTACTGCTAACACTACCCACTGCTAAAGCTACCTACTGCTGACGCTACCTACTGCTGACGCTACCCACTGCTAAAGCTACCCACTGCTAATGCTACCTACTGCTGACGCTACCTACTGCTGATGCTATCCACTGCTGATGCTACCTACTGCTAACACTACCTACTGCTAACACTACCCACTGCTAACACTACCTACTGCTAACGCTACCTACTGCTAATGCTACGTACTGCCAACGCTACCTACTGCTAATGCTACCCACTGCTGACGCTACCCACTGCTAACACTACCTACTGCTAACGCTACCTACTGCTAATGCTACCTACTGCTGACGCTACCCACTGCTAATGCTACCTACTGCTGACGCTACCTACTGCTGACGCTACCTATTGCTAAAGCTACCTACTGCTGACGCTACCTACTGCTGACGCTACCTATTGCTAAAGCTACCTACTGCTGACGCTACCTACTGCTGACGCTACCCACTGCTAAAGCTACCCACTGCTAATGCTACCTACTGCTGACGCTACCTACTGCTGATGCTACCCACTGCTAATGCTATCCACTGCTAAAGCTACCTACTGCTAACACTACCCACTGCTAACACTACCTACTGCTAACACTACCCACTGCTAAAGCTACCTACTGCTGACGCTACCTACTGCTGACGCTACCCACTGCTAAAGCTACCCACTGCTAATGCTACCTACTGCTGACGCTACCTACTGCTGATGCTACCCACTGCTAATGCTATCCACTGCTAAAGCTACCTACTGCTAACACTACCCACTGCTAACACTACCCACTGCTAACACTACCCACTGCAAATGCTATCCACTGCTAACACTACCCACTGCTAACGCTACCCCCTGCTAATGCTACCTGCTGCCAGTGCTACCTGCTGCTAACCCTATCAGTGCTAATGCTACCTGCTGCTAACCCTATCTGCTGCTAACCATATCAGTGCTAATGTTACCTGCTGCCAGTGCTACCTGCTGCTAACCCTATCAGTGCTAATGCTACCTGCTGCTAACCCTATCTGCTGCTAACCATATCAGTGCTAATGTTACCTGCTGCCAGTGCTACCTGCTGCTAACCCTATCTGCTGCTAACTCTATCAAGTGTTAATGCTACCTGCTGCTGACTCTATCTGCTGCTAACTCTATCGAGTGCTAATGTTACCAACTGCTAACTCTGCCTGCTGGTAGCTCTCTGTAATATTTCTTACGTAATTGAAAAGTCAGGAATTAGCCTTTGAATATTTTGATTAGTAAAATGTAGGGACTGTTGGCTCCGCCCCCTAACTAATGGGTGACCAGCGGTCCTCTGATGCATTTTCAGTGCGACCTGGAACCATTGAAACCACAGGGTCTAAAAACACATCATTATAGGTTCCTAATGCAGATGTGGAAAAGGTGAATGGACCTGTGGTGAATGGTTCTGAGTCGGTACTGGTGGAAGAAGATGAAATGAACTGGACCTTCTAATGCAGCAAAGTTCTGGATTTGGACCGAGCAGATCATCCAGGTGCTGCGGAAGGAAAGCATCTCCAGACCATCATAGTCCCCCTCCATGTCTGGTTGTCAGTATGATGTTAGCTTAGCTGTCCTCTCTCTGTCTCTGTGCTCCTTTGGATCAGCAGTGATTCTGCTCAGTCTCTCTTCCTTATAAGTGAATTTTGACCTCTGACCTTAAGTGAGGCAGTGAGTTGTTCCGGGTGTTTCAGGAACTCCCTGGGGGGTTCTGTTGGGCTGGTCGTGGTTGTTTCATGCGGTTTTGGGTCACTGCGGTTCTTCCTTTCAAATGTTGGGTCCAGCTGCGTTGCAGGAACCTCTCCCCTCTGACTGACGGAACCGTCTGCTGGATTAGGAGCTAAACTGCTGCTTGGCAGTTAGAATACTGTTCCGTTACACTGAAATGGACTCTCTAGAACCCGGATCTACCCAGAACCCCTCAATAGCTGCCACTATGGCCCAAACGGTTTCATGTTGGGGCCTGCTGGGTTCTACTGCCTGCCTTAGAAGAGAACAGACCCTTTGCTGTAGGAACAGGTTCTTCTTGCCATGTGGGTCCACTCGTCAGTCTGGGTGGAGCTTTGCAGTCAGTCCAAATGGGAGCACTGGTTCTGCTTACAGGATGGTTGAAGGGGTCTGGCATCATTTGGACCCTACAGATGGGATGTTCTGGATCATGTGGAGGTTCTCTCTGAGGCCTCCATACCAAACACTCTGATCTGGTTCGCCTCATTTAAGGCTCTGTAGTACCGCTGTGGTTCTAATGGGTCAACCGCTGTAGGTACCAGATCTGCTCGGGGCCCCGCCCCTTCTCATGATGTCATCATACGGCAACTCCACTCGGACAAACTGTATTTACCCGTTTCCTAAGGATCAAATCTCTTTTGGAACTCAACATATTATTCCCTATAATTGCTGTTTACTTTTCATCTGCGATCTAAAGTAGCAGAAAGTAGAAAAGAATAAAGTCTCAGTTTATCTTTATTCTTATTATTAACATCAGAGGACAAATGTAACACACTGAAAAATAACTTTCATAGAGATTTTAGACAAAACAGTTATTCTACTTGTAGAAGACTAGCGGTTTAGTGTAGCTTAATGTGGCTAACTGAGCGAGCTAAAAGAGGCTAACCTGTTAGCTACAGCTAGCCACCCACCTCTTTATATCACGGTCTAACAGTTACTTTGTTCACCAGAAACAGATTTTTCTCAGTTTTGTTATCAATCAGGTGAAACTTCAGCGGTTATTAGACACGCTAACGGACGCTGCGTGATGTTATCGTTGTCTGGACAACCACAATGTTTTACATCATGTAACGTTCAGCCGATCATGTAGCGTGGCGTCTCTGACATGAAGCAGGGATGGAGCACATCTGGCTGCTACAGCAGAACCTAGATCCGTGGATCAGAGAGGTTTCAGTCCATCCATGATCCATCAGCACCTTCAGACCCGGAGCAGCAGAGCGGTTCTGATGGGAGCGTAGAAACTAAAGCTGTCGTCTGTCACCTGCAGTTCAGGCGGTGCTGGGTAACGGCGGCTCGCTGAGCGAGGATCGCAGCGACGTCTTGAACAGGAAGCTGGACTGGAGCTCCATGGAGTCTGCGGAGAAGAAAGGATCCAGTGAGATCTCAGGTGTGATGCACAGCCTCAGCTGGCGGCTCGGTTTCTGTCTGAGAGCTTCATCGTCTCCTGTTGGTCCACAGAGGATACGCTGAACTTCTGGAAGGGCATCGCTGATGTGGGCTTACTGGGAGAAGTGGTGACCAACATCAACACAGAGCTGGTGCAGATGCTGGACGGCGTCCTGCAGCGCAGAGAGCAGGCCGTCCTACAGGACACAGGTATGAAACAGAACATCTAAGTGGGTTCCTGCAGAATGACCCGAAAGAAAGAACAAGTTCTGCTGCGGCTGGAAACCAGCTTAGGATGTTCTCCAGTCTGATTTCCTGAATGCAGCAGCTGAAGTTGTTCTGACTGACCTTTGATTGGTTGCCACACTGATCCCAGATTCCTGTCTGGTAGAGGTGGCCGTGCTCAGTAACCTGGCCCAGGTCTTCGGCCTGCTGGACTTGGTGAAGAAGGTTCTGGAGAAGAGGAAGCAGCAGACGGATCCCAGCCAGGAGCAGATCCTCAGCATCCTGAGCAGTAAGTAGGAGGTGTCTGTTAGTGCCGGTGAAGGTTCTCAGGCTTCCAGGTCACAGTCATTCCCTAAAAGTTCAAAACAATCCACTGGACCTGGTTTCCAAGGATTGAAGACGTTTCGCTTCCTCTCCAGGAAACTTTCTCATTTCAAATATCTGGATCCGCAGTGAGTTTGAGTCTTTATAGACACATGGCCCAAAACAGGAGAGCGCCCTCCTCTGGACAAGACTCTGCAGGACATCTACATCTTGGTTTGAGAGGAAGGAAGCCGTCTATGTTAAGAGAGAAAAAACAACTTTAAACAGAGGGGGGGGGGGGGGGGGGGGGGGGGGGGCTCCAGCTTCCAAAAACTTACAATTCAGTTCTAGACCCGCTCCAGCCGGTGAACAATTCCTCCTTAATGACCGACCCTCAGAATCATAGGCTCTGTTCGAAAACCTAGGACGGATCCTCCAAGGACGCGGTCTACCTAGACTGGATCCTTCGAAGTCCTTGAAAATAAGGAGACCGGAAGAGTTCTGTCTGTAAATTCGACCAGGTCCACCCTTCGGCGGGTTTTAACGGCGTATGCTCTGTTGCTTAGCAACCGTGAACGTTGACACACAAAGCAGGAAAAGAATGAAAACAGAAGTTTTCAAAACTATTTATTTATTTTTATTGTGAAGTGAACAAAGACTGATGAGAATCCAGAGTGGAATAAATGTTCCAGCCACCGGGAGCAGGAATAAATCAAATCAAATGTAATGATAGAAACCTTAGTCAGTTAAATAACCTGCTGCTGTCATTCTGCACATCTCTGATGTTGCTGCTATTTTCAAATATCCATCACTGTAAAAATGTCCATAGCTGCATATTGGTTATTTATTCTCCAGTTTTATATTGTTAAAACACTTTACAGGATTTTATTGTTTATATTTTAACTCTTCCCTATTATGTTATTTTTATACATTTTTCTAAGGTCCTCATTTGTGTGACCATTTTCAATAATCTTTCTGCTGCTGTAAATCTGCCCATTGTGGGACAATAAAGGGATTTTCTATTCTATTCTATAAAAGGGGTAGAAAGATATAAGTAAATCTAAACAATGTATGTATAAAAATATATCTGTAAAATCTCTAATATTCAACAACAAAAAATACTTAGTTAAGCATATTGTGCAAAACAGCAATAAAAAGATTTTACTCCTATCAGATTTATAGTCCCACCCTGCAGATATATTAGAATCTGTCCTTAAATTACAGCCAAACCCATTTACACAGTAACAGATAAAAACCTTTAGATAAACCAAACATTACCGCCACATATCTGACTCAATAACCATTAAAACAACTATTTTCATTAATCTCAGACGGAACTATTCACAGACTGGATTATATTAAACTGAACTTCCAATTTTCACCACTGTTTGGCGCCAAGTAACCTTTCCTCTGATCACGGCTTGCTTGGTCTCGCAATGAATCCTGGGATATCCAAGGATAGAGAGGATACATCAGACCCGTCCTTCAAATCGGGCAAAAAGAAGGACGCATTTTAAGGCCGCATAACGAGGACTCTTGGAATCCGACCAGACCTCGGCGCCGCGCTATGACGTAATCGGCCTTCGAATCCGGTCTTCTAAGGACGCGTCCTAGGTTTTCGAACAGGGCCATAGACAGGTTTCAGATATTACAGGCTAACAATGGAACCAAACGACCCATTCATCTGTTTCCGTTAGCATGTTTCCAACCAATACCAGGCCTGGTCTATAAAGACTCACTGTGGATCCAGACATTTAAACTGAGGAAGCTTCCTGGAGAGGAAGCGAAGCGTCTTCAAACCTTGGAAACCAAGTCCAGAGGATTGTTTTTAACTTTTATGGAAAGGTGTCTGTGAATGATTTAATAGTTTAGATTTAATAAATCCACTAAGAGAAGCAGAGCGGCTCTACATCCAGCAGAACCTGCTGCCAGAACTTGAGCACCCATCAGTTTTCTAGTGATAAATCACTTCTATTGATGAACTATAAAGGTTTACCACAGTCCTGGCTAATGCTAATGCTAATGCTAGCTCCCGCCACAGGCAGCAGGGGCTGAGATGTTGTCAGGAAAGTATCATCTACATATATATAGGCCTCTGCTTCCCAGCATTAACTCCAACATGTGAGATAAAGTGAAGCAATAAGGCTCTGCGTCACAGCAGGCCAAACCAAGCAGGGATTTCACTTCCCGAGAACGATTATAACCAAGATATGGAGAGAACAAAGAACTAACAAGGAAACAATGAAAAACCTTCAGTTTAACATATTAGCAGAGTGGATTGTTGAGGATATTTAATCCAGTTTGGTCTCTACAATAGAAATCAGATCATATTCTACCCAAACCTGCCGCCACTGACAGAATAGTTCAGTCTTCTGATTGAGAGGCTCTTATTTTTTACATTCAACATATTTTAAATGTTGATCCAGTCGTCTAATCATATAATAACCCTTTTATTCTAATGTTTTTCTTACTTAGACAATAGTCAGAGTTCCAGGCCGACAGGGACAGTTCCATGGTCCGCATGTTATCATCCCAATAAATTCAATTCTATTCAGTTTATTTCTATAGCTCCAATTCACATCATGTCATCTCAGGTCACTTTATAGATCCAGACCAACCAGATTATCCAGTCAGATTGATTCAAAGTTTTCTATCTAAGGAAAACCAGCTGATTGCATCGACTCATTGACTCTTCAGCAATCCCTCACACTAAGCATGCTTGTAGCGACAGTGGAGAGGAAAAACTCCCAGATAATGGAGGAGGAGATCAGATAGATGTGTTACTCCTGTAGATGATGGAGGAGATCATATTCAGCATCTTTTCTATTCTATTTAATGAAGATCAGATTTCTGGTGATTAGTGATGGATTGTGTCTCAGGTCCTCCATGAAGAGCACCTCCTCCATCGCTCCTTAGACGACAGGAGGTCTCAGGTCTGCTGTACCTGTTAAACAATAGTTTTTTCCTTTGGGATTTAATTAAATATGTTTGTTTATGTGAAAACTGAATGTGACTGAGAGGAAAAGGCTTTTCTGATGATTTCCTCCTTCTGCTTCATGGAGCTCAGCCGCGGCTCTCTGCTGCCCTCTGGTGGTCAGTTACTGATTCTATTCTACTAGAGTTTTTCTGAAGAAGTCCCAAACATGTGATGCTTTCAGTTATATTTATTGATTTCTTTGATGTCATCAGAAGTGTAACAACTGATCTATTGGTTCTACATCTGTATAGATCCTCATCTCTATCCAGTCGGCTTTTCTTGGTTTTATTCTGTATTGCTGATCTATTGATTGTTTGTGGATTTCTTCCTTTCCAATGTTTAGACTTTCAGTCCACAGTGGAATGGCCTTGTTCAGCATCTATGTTGTTAATGACTGTAGCTCTATTTTTGTCAGCCATGTTCAAACCCGGTGAGGCTCAGGGAGGTTTAACCCTTTAGGTTCTGGAACAGGGAGGCGTTTTCAGCAGCGTTAGGGTTAACCGCCTCCCTCTGATGGTGTTCCTGTTGCTGTCATCTAAATATTTCCTTCATCATAACAAACCTGCTCTGGTTCTTCTGCAGATCTGGAAGCTCAGCTGGAGGAACAGAAAAAGCAGCAGCAGGTTCGAGCCCTGCTCTCCTCCCCTCAGACAGCCAAAAACAAACCCGCCACCAAGCGGCCAACCAAGCGGCCCCGCCTCCAGAGGCCCGCCTCCACAACCACCCTGCTGACGTCGCCCGTCAGCCAACAGGCCGCCCTGCAGCCCCAGCAGTTCACCGTCCTGTCCCCCATCTCGCTGTCCTCTGTGGGGCAGCCGTTCACCGTGGCTGGGCTGCCCATCGCCTCCTTAGCCCAGTCCTCCAGCACCGTCACCCTGCTGCCCGCCGGCTCCCAGATCTTCACCCGCTACATGGTTGCTGGAGATGGAAAGAGCGACGCCATCACTCTGCACCCGTCATCCGGCCTCACGCTGGTGGGCACCACTGCTGTTCAGGACTCCAGCCAGCTAGGTACGGTGGTCAGCCCAGTGGAGCTGCTCCATCTCAGCCAGCATGCCGCGGGTGCAGAGATGGTGCCTATCGAGGGCCAGGTAGTGGATGGAACCATGCTGGTGCAGCAGGAGGTGCTCCAGGGGGAGCTAGAGTCCAACCAGGAGCACACGGTTATCGAGATCAACCCCAGCCCTGTAGAGCAGACGGTGGGCATGATGGAGCTGCAGCTGGCCGAGGAGCCCGGCCGGGACGCCACCGCCATGGTGGTCCAGAGCGGGATCGAGGTTACCATGGCGACAGAGGACTCACAGTGCCAAATGCAAGAGGCTCAGACTGAGGGGGTTCAGGGGCTGCAGCTGGATGCTAACGGACAGTTATCAGGCGTGCAAATCGTGGTGATCGAGGAAAATACTCAGGAAGAGAAGAAGGCGGAATAAAGCCAGCGGCGTTTTCTGCAGAAACAGGAAGCTGAACGTTTCTGCTCCGCCTCCTCTGGATCTGTCTGGTTCATACTGGTTTGGTTGTTTTTCTTCTGCCTTTGGCCAAACAAAAAACATCTAACAGGCTGTTGAGTCCTCAGAAAGTCTTGGCCAGAGAGAAGCCTCAGTGGGAGTGAGTCATTGCTGTGCAGGTAACCCAGGAAGCAGGGATGTAATAACAAGCAGCCTTTGGTAGACATGTATATAGAAGAGGTGCTTCATGTAGAGCAGGAGGAACCTGACTGGGACACCCAGGATTAACAATAAGCTGTGGCCTGTCAGGATCACACCACCCTGCTGGTCACTGGATGCCTGACCCCCCTACTGGTTCCATCCCAGCACAGATCTGCATGCCAGGCTATGCCCTCTGGTTGCCTCATTAAATCTGTTCATCAATAACTTCAAGTTCTGCATCTGAATTCTTGCAGATTTATCACTGATTGGATTAAAAAGATCACTGATGTGTCTGAAGTTAGTTTCCTTCCAGACCCTTTGATCCAATAAGCTGTGGATTCAGGATGTTGCTCTGCTCGCCGTTGGCCTCTTTAGCAGACAGTGTTGATGTTGATGAGCCGCCTGTGGTGTTTCCAGTCCGGTTCAGCTCCTCAGGGACTGGTTCAGAATGTGGCCCAGCTTTTCTCACCTTCTCAACCTCATTTTCTCTCATGTTATTGGATTTTCGGAGCTTTCTGGCCGACTGATAGCTTAGAAACGAAAACACATCCCTGATGTTCGACTGCCTGTAAATGACTGATATATTTATTAGTTTGGAAAGCATAGAGGTCTGGCCTTTTTGATGTGCAAATATGGAGGAATTAATTTAAGTTCTTTGATACAGTGTGCACCAACAGATACCTGTTCAATCATTTAATTTAAAAAAGAGCGTTTAAATACTGAATTTGTAATGTGTTTTAATATCCGATTAAAGGAGAGAAAGAAGCTAAAGGTGCTGTTTTTATGTTTCACCACCAGGAGGCACTATGTGTTCAGGGCCAGACTGAGTAAAGGCATCTCCTTCATGGGTTTTATCTATGGAGAGATATTTGTGCCATCGGTTTGAGCGCGCAGGAACCAATCCGAGCGCAGTGAGACAACAGGCGCACGCAAAACCGGTCTGGCGTGCGCTCAACTTTGAAACACCCTCTCTACACAGCTGCGTGAAGCGGACACCCCACCCACGTCAAAAAACTCAGCAAATAGACTGAATGGTTAGTGCAATGTTAGTGCACATTTGTGCAGAAAAAAATATTGTTTGTGCTACTTTTGTTTAAGAGATATTAAAGATTATTTTTTAGGTCATCCAGAGGTCACCATCCCCCCATCAAGCTCCGATTTAAACCAAAGTGGTCTCCTTTTTTAGTGCTTTGTTTGTGCTGATTTGTGCCGTTAAAACGGTTTGTGCTGCTTGCATGTCCGATTCAAACTATATTCTCTATACTTGCAGGTGATGATCACAACCGACTACATTTATTACACAACTAATTTCACCTGCTGCTGTTTTTGTTTCAGGCCTTTTTATCCTGTAAATTCTTGTCAGTAATTTAGTCTGGGACTAAAGTAAATGATATCTCACTGCCAACACTGGAAAGAAGGGAGGTCTTTTTAAAATCTGCACTAACCATTCAGTCTATTTGCAGAGTTTTTTGACGTGGGTGGGGTGTCAGCTTCACGCAGCTTCTCAACACACTGTTCTGGCACTCAGTTTCATCTCTGCTCGTGCTCGACCTGCTCTCTCTCCGCGCTCAACATCAGCTGTGCGCTCGGCTCTCTGCGCTCGCAGCTTCATCAATGTAAATGAACCAAACCATCAGCCAATCACGCTCAGCTTCTGTTCATCCAATGAAAGCATTCCTTCCTCCTTCCTTCTTCTTCTTCTTCTTCTTTTCTATCATGGCGGATCGCAAGCAACTTTAAGGTGCATACCGCCACCTACTGTTCATAAGTGTGTAGCAACATTGTTTTACATCTATTAAATTCTATTTTTTTATTTTGTATTCTGCAGATAACTAAATAATGCTTTCCTTAATCTATAAATATCCTTTATATTTCCTTTATTTCCCAATAGACTCCATTCTTGGCCTTTCCTTTCAACTATTCTTAATTTCTCCCTTTCAGGTTCAGATGTTTTACAGTTCATCAATACGTAAGCATTCATTCCAAATACTACATCCTGTTAAATGAAAAATAAAATAAAAACACAATCAGGAAAATCAAACAACTCTTACAGTTATTTGGTCAGCACTGCTAACCATTTGATGGATTTTATAGTACTATAAAATTCAACCATACTTGAACCTGAAATATCCTCCTTATTTTTCTTTTAAAACAGCAAATTTAAATCCATGTCAATAGCAGGTAAAAGAGATGGATGAGGCAATGATCTAATAACTGTTTTACTGAAGTTTATTTCAGATAATTCAAGATATTTTATAGTACTTCTTCTGTCCATCAAATGGTTAGGAGTGCTGACCAAATAACTGTAAGAGTTGTTTGATTTTCCTGATTGTGTTTTTATTTTATTTTTCATTTAACAGGATGTGGTATTTGGAACGAATTCTTACGTATTGATGAACTGTAAAACATCTGAACCTGAAAGGGAGAAATTAAGAGTATTGAAAGGACAGGCCAAGAATGGAGTCTGAAAGGATTATTGGGAAATAAAGGAAATATAAATGATATTTATAGATTAAGGAAAACATTATTTATTTATCTTCAGAATACAAAATTAAAAAATATAATTGAATAGATGTAAAACAATGTTGCTACACACTCATGAACAGTAGGTGGCGGTATGCACCTTAAAGATCCACCATGGAGGAGGAGGAGGAGGAGAAGAAGAGATTTGATTTTTAACAAAACATTTATTAAACAATGATTCATCAAACAAACAGTTAAAAGACTCAGGTCATCAGGACATCATTATAAAAGCAGCTTGTTATATTTCAGCTCTCCTGACTCAGAAATGGTGAACAACACATCGTTAAAGCCCCACAGTTATATAAAACCCTTCAAATCCCCAGTGGCTCTGTGGAAGCAGAACTCCAGCCTCAACCTGGCTTTGATGTTACACTTCCACAGAGCCACCGCATCAAGCTGAGGTCCTTCCTGCAGTTTGTCTCGTCGTGTTAGGTAAATGGCCATTTTGGCTTCAGAGATTAAATCATTTAAAATTCTGGAGTTGAAGGCAGTGGCTCGGTTATAATGTACACCACTGATAAAAACGGAATGGGTAAAAACCACACTATAAAGGCTAAAAACGTTCATTAAAAATATTTAAAAAACAGTCAGTCGTACACAATCCATAAAAACGTGAAACACACTCTCGGGCAAACTGCAAAAAGGACATTTGTTTAAAACCTCAGGACTGATGACAGATAAAAACGCGTTTGTAGCAATGGCGCCGTGAAGTATCCTCCATTGAAGGTCACCAGTCCGTTTCTTGATGGGAGGCTTGTACAAAGTCCTCCACTGAGGTTTTTGTCCTCTGAACATGTCTGCCCAGACGCTTGTTTGCCTGTTATGGAGAGTTCTCCTGTTTAGGACTTTAGTGCATGTTCTATATAATGTTTTTGGGTCCGCTTGCACAGATCCATCTTCTGATTTTGTAGTAGGGGTCCGCTATCCTCCTCAAAGTCTGGATCCATGCACGCGTCCGGGAACGGGTCGCTCATGTCAGGCGGGCGCTGTCCGGTGGCGTGCAGCTGCAGGAGCCGTCTCTCCCCAGCAGTCATCCGCTCTTTCAGACGCTCCAGAAAGCGCCGCGCCAATCTGGCGGACCGGACCCCCAGTAGCGAGCGGATCTCCTCGACGCCCGAGAAATCCGGCCCGGCGACCCGCACCAGATGCCTCAGGGTCACCTCTCCCGACCTGGACAGCATCTCGGGAAGGCCAGGCACGGAGCTGTCGTGGACGTCCAGCCTCGCTCCACACACCAGCGGTTCTTCTAAAAGCCAATGCAGAGAGTTATACGTTTTGGACCTGTGCAGTTTAAAAAAAGCACATGATTTAAAAACACTTTGATAAAATTGAGGTAGCCCTTTTATCTTTAAGAGACTTAAGTCTGTTAAAAACAGAGCAGCATCCAGCCCCAGAGAGTTTACACGTCTCAGAATGCAGCTGGCCACATCTCTCCACACGGGGTTTTCTGTGAGGAACTTCTGAAGGAACTGTAAACGAAAAGTGGCTGTTCTGGCGGTCAGGTGGACAAGGCCCTGGCCCCCCTCCTCTCTTGGTAAAAACAAGACAGACTGTGGCACCCAATGTCGACCGCTCCAGAAAAAATTCACCATCTCTGACTGTATTTTTACAAGAAGGTCAGAGGGTGGGTCTAAAACAGAGAGTTTGTGCCACAGCTGTGATGCTATAAGATTATTTAAAACTAGTACTCTGCCCCTATAGGACATCTGGGAGTGCAACCACTTCCATTTTTCCAACCTGGTTTTTATTTTTCCTTTCACTTCCTCCCAGTTTTTCTTTAAAATTGCTTCACTGCCTAAAAACACACCGAGGTTCTTAAAACCGTCCCTCTTCCACACCAGATCTTGAGGGAGAACTGGGAGCCTGACGGACCACTCTCCGACGGCCAGGGCTTCGCTCTTTGCCCAGTTCACCCTCGCGGCGGACAAGACTGAAAACTTTTCAGTTACCTCAGGTAAAAGGCTGACATCCCGTTGATCCTTAATAAAAACAACAACGTCGTCAGCGTAGGCAGATAAAACCATGTGATTAGTAAAACCAGGTAAAACCAGACCGTAAACACTCGAACGTATTTTCTGAAGGAGGGGTTCCAGGGAGAGCTCGTAGAGCATCCCTGAGAGCGCGCAGCCCTGTCGGACGCCTCTACCCACCCTAAAAGGAGCACACAGGCTACCGTTGATCTTCAGCACACTCTCTATGCCACTGTACAGTACCTGGATCTTGGCGATGAGACCCTCGCTGAACCCAAACCCCCGATCTTGTAATCGGTACAGAGGAGGGACACGGGGCGCCAGTTCTTGACGTCTTGCAGGTTACCCTTTTTGGGGAGCAGGGTGATGACCGCCCTGCGGCAAGACAAGGGGAGCAAACCGGCGACCAGACTCTCCCTACAGACGTCTAGCAGGTCTTTTCCCAGAAGGTCCCAATAGGCCTTGAAGAACTCGACGGTGAGTCCATCAATGCCAGGGGACCTCTGGCTCTGCATGCCGAGGAGGGCTGTGTGGAGTTCCTGGAGCTCCAGGGGACGCTCCAGCTCGGTGTTTGTCTCCTCAGAGACCTGGGGTAGTTCAGTGCAGAACTCCCGGAACAGATCCTCATTCTCTTTATATTCGCTCCGGAACAGAGAACGGTAAAAACCCACAGCCCTCTCCCTGATCTGACCCGGTTCGCTCAGTTGTTGCCCCGTGTCCGACAGCAAAGAGTGGATCAGCTTCCTCTGACCGTGCTTCCTCTCCAGGCTGAAAAAAAAAGCTAGAGGGAGCATCCATCTCTGTGATGTTCTGGACCCGAGATCGGACCAATGCGCCTTGGACTTTTGACTCCAGCAGGTTGGCTAACGCTAGCCGTTTAGTTTTGAGAGCTTCAATGTGCTCTTGATTTCCTGTGGATCCGCTGAGTTGCTCTAAATCCACGATGTTCATTTCCAGATCTTTGATAGATCTGGTAATGTCACGAGTGACGTTGAGAGTATGCTGTTGACTCAGCAGTTTTATCTGAACTTTCCCATAGTCCCACCACTGTCTAAGAGAGGTAAAATCTGACTTTCTCTGTCTAAAACCAGTCCAAAAAAAAACTTAAAATCTCCTTAAAACCTCGATCGTGAGTTAAAGCAGAGTTAAAATGCCAGTAAGGGCTTCTCGGTAAAATGTTTCTAATAAAAACACTACCTAAAAGCAACGAGTGATCCGTAAAAGCCACCGGTAAAATCTGGCATGCCTTAAACACGTTAAAATGGTGTTTAAAACAAT